GGATTCCACACCTGTAGATTCAACCAATCAGAAATCAAAAATATTTTTATAAAAGTTATGTGTGCACTGAACATATAGATATTTTTCTCATTTCATTATTTCTCAAATGATGCAGCATAACAGCTATTGACAAAATTTACATTATATTAGATAGAAATAATCTAGAGATTATTTAAAATATATAGCAAGATGTGTGTAAATTATTTGAAAATACTACACCATATTTGAGAATCCCCAGATATTGTTATCCATCAGGGGTCATGGAATTAATCTTCCATGGATACTGAAGGACAAGAATATATACACATAAAGATATGAATAATACATATATGTGTATATATGAATATCAGTTTTTGTATACATATTGAGAACAATTCAGGAAATTTAGCACAAAACAAATTTGACAACAAATGCATCTGTCTGAAAGGCACACAGTTCCCTACAAAGTTCTTGCAACTCTTCTGTAAATTTGAAATAATTTCAAAATTGAAAGTTGAAAAGAAAACTTCACGTGAAGATATCTAGCAAAATTACAAACCTATTTATTTATTTTGGTATGCAGGGATCGAACTCAGGTCCTTACACTTGCAAGGCAGGTGGTGGAACCACTGAGCTAAATCCCTGGCCCACAAACCTATTTATTCTTTGACTCAGTAATTCCAGTTTCATGACTTGGAATTTATCTGATAGATATACAGCATTATGTACAAAATGATGTAGGTAAAAGACTATTCAATGCAGTTGCTTTGATATTGGAAATAAACTAGTTAATAGTCCAATAGAATGCTAAGCAGTAAATAAGAAGAAACTTTCTATGAATTAATATGGACAAAATTTTAAAGATAACGTTGAAGAAAGCAAGATATAGATCAGCATGTTATCTTTTGTGAGAAATATGGAGCAATAAGAACATATATTTACATTTGCATAAAGAAATGATGATGTATTCTTAATAAACTAATAAAGTGTTTATCTATGGGGAAAGAAGGAAGGAAGGTGGAAAAGAAGTAGTATCAGGATGGAAGTGAGACATAAATATATACTTATATTATTTTGATTTTTGAGCCATCTAAATGTGTTTCCTATCAAAGAATGAAATGAACATTACTAAGCTTGAGGTACATGGTAGACCTATAATGACTCAAATGGAGTCCATATTTATTAAGGAATAAATATCCTTATATGTTAAATTGCATGACTATATATATATATATATATATGTATATATGCATGTATATATACATAAACTGTAAAATGATCCCTGTTGTACAAAAAATACACATACCCTTGCACATATATACATATGACATATTTGACGCACATATAATATGACATATATACTCATATGTATATGACACAGATATATGATTTGTGTGTGTATATATATGACATAACAAGGTATTAATAGCAGTGATCTCTTAAGGGGAGGCTGAGACATGACAAAAGGGGTGGAACATGATGTTTTATTTTCTTAAATTTCTTTTCAAATTGAATTACAAGTTTTAGACAATCAAATGCAAGAACTTAAGTTCAATGAGTTTTAGAAAACATATACACCCACATAACCCACTTCTCTACCAAGACATGGAATATTTCTATTTTCCTGGGAGAGAAAAGTTTTACCATCCTTTATATTATTGGCATCAACTTTAAAATGCTGAGGATTCCATAGTATGGTTAAGTTATGTGTGGGCATACAGTCTTTCAGATGTGCTTATAATATTAAACTTCAGCAATTTTGTTAGTATTACTATGTCCTTTTAAACATTCCTCCTCTGAAATTTTACTGTTTGTAAGACAAAAACAGATGGTGAAAGAAACTGAGATTCAACATTCCCATGGATAGCTGGAAATGTAGCTCAGGGGTAGAGCATTTGCTTGGCATACACAAAGCCCTGGGGTCAATCCCCAGAACTGGAAAAAAAATTCTATGGAGAACATGTAATCATGTGAAAACAAATTAAATACAAAAAATAAAAACATCAATAAATTGTAACCCAAACAGAATTACAGAGAGAGAAAATAACCAAACACTAGAACCAGACTGAAGAATAGAGTGAATATGAATTAAACTAATATGAATTAAATAGTATGGGTGCTGGATATTCCTCATAGTTAAAAAAGACCCGGAAGAAAAATAAATCAGGGTTAACTCAGTCATGAACCAAATACATACCAATATAATGCTATCAGAAAGCTTATCATGGTTAGCTTTATAAATATCTACTCAACTGAATAGATTATCACAATGGAATAAATCAGATATTAATGGAATTGTGATCATATGTCAACCACTCACTTAACATGTACACAAGGATGTTTCTCAGAATTTCAAATTAGACATGCCTACAACTCAACTCTTGAGTTCTCTTAAATCCACCCTTCTCTACTCTTCCACACCTCATTAAATGGTACCTTTAATAACACAGTTGCTTAATTTGTAAACCTGGAAATTGCTCTTAATATCCGCCTTCATCCATTGTCTTTATGCAGTCAACATTTTTTTGAGGATCTATCACTTACCAGACAATGATCTTATTAGACACTGAGGAATACAATAATGAATAAAATAGCCCCTGCCTTCATGGATTTTATATTCCACCTATTTCATCATTAAGTCTTAATAAGTCTATGTTCTAAATATATCTCCAATCCATTCATTTATTCCTATATTTATTGCCTTCCCTTTAATCCAAGCCAGTACTGCTTTTTTACCAGGAACACTGCCATAGTCTTCCATCTGGCCTTCCTGTTTCTATTTGTAACGCTCATAAATCACTTCTCCATAGAGCAGTAGAGTAATCTTTAAAATTCAAACTAGGACCAGTGATTTAGTTTAGTGGTGCCACGGCCTGCCTCACAAGTGCAAGGTTTGATCCCCAGTACCAACACCCCCAAATAATAATAATAATAATAGTAATAATAATAAAATTCAAACCATATATTGTCATTGTATTTGAAGTCATTAATAGCCCATAAGTACAAAGATAAATAAAATCCAGAATCTTTAAGGTAGTTTACAAATCTTTTTTTTTAAACTTGCTTATTTTGTTTATTAATTCCATTATCTATTTAGTTATATTTCTTTTTTTTTTCAGCTTTAATTGAGTTTATTGGTACATTTTAGGGATACAGTACAGTTACATTCATTGTTGGGATCTTGTACTGCTACATGACAAGTCTTGATTCTCAAATCTTACTCTGTCAGTAGTTTCATCCATTTATTTTCCATTTCCAGCCTCCCTAACCCCTTTCAAGTATGTCAAGCACACATTTTTGGTTTTCATGTCCTTAATACATGCTACTTCCCATGCTTGACATTTCCTTTTTCACTTTCCTTGTTACCTAGCTAACTTCTACTCATCCTTTAGAGCTTACTTTATGAGGTATAATAAAAATATACAGTAAATGTTTTGCTACACAAATGAATAAATAAACCACTACTAGATTTAGGCAGACATCAATGTTTACTGTTTTTGGATGGGTTCTCTCTCCAGATAAAGGAAGCCTCAACTTATGAAAAATTGGTTTAGGCTTAAACTACCATCAAAGTATACTCTCATGCAAAATAGTGTGATAAAGAACCTTGAACCTTGTATTTTATAAAGTGAAGTACTATTTTTTAAATTGACAGCTTTTCTATAAACTAGCAATGAAAAACCAGAAAAAGAAACAATACAATACTACTTTCAAGAGCATCCAAAAACATCAAATAAGTAAAGATAATTTATTTAAAGATGTACAATATCTCTGCACCTTTCACAAGCAAAGAAATAAAAGCAATGTAAGTGTCCATCAACTGAAGGATGGAGAAAGAAAATGTGGTATGACACAGAAAATGTGGTATGTATATTCAAAGGAATACTATCCAATCATGAAAGGATAAAATCTTGTCACCTGTGACAATATAAATGAAACTGTAAATTATATGAAAGCTAGGCACAGAAAGATAAGTACCTCATCTTCCTTACATGTGGAATCTAAAAGGCTGATCTCATAGAAGTTGAGAGAATAGTGGTTACCATAAGCTGGAGAGAGTGGAAGGAGCAGGTGGGTACAGTTATGGAGAAGGAAGAAGTTCTGCAGTGCTACTGCATGACAGGAAGACTATAGGTAATAATAATGTACAATACATTTTTTAAAGTTGGAAGAAAAAGTTTTGAAAGTCTCCATAAATGAGTAATCAATGTTGGTGTAGATAGATATGTTTCACCTCTTACAAACATTACATAACATATATGTATCTAAAATTATTTAGTATTCAATTAATATGTAAAATTTATAGTTTATGTAGCCATTAACAGCAAAAATTTTAAAAGAAGACCTCCTCACTAAAAACAACAAAACATAGTTCAAAGGATTTTAAAAGATTTACTTAAATGGACATATAT